ATTTAATACAAAAAAAAAAGAACAGTGGAAATGTAGATATATAAACTTGAGAGAAAGTGATAGTGTCTTCTTAGGGTTGGTAAAAATGAAGGAATAAAAAAACCTGACTTGCACAAGAAAAAAGAACATTTAAAAGTATTTAGAGCTTTTGTTAGAATTTCTGCAGATGTGCATACACCTAGCATGGCCTCAGTTGACATAACTGATCAGGGCATGATGGATATCAGGTCAAAGAGTGAGACACCAGACTAAAGAGAGACCCCGTTCTAGATAGCTTGCATCTGTATCCCTTGCACCCCCCTCCAATTGCCTTAACCTCCGTGGCTGTTACACATGCACAGCAGTGCAGCTCACCTTTGTCATCACCTGATGGGCAACTAGCTCTCATGTAGCCAGGCCCATTTGTTCCTCAATCCCTAGCTTAAGACTGTGTCTGAGTCCATTTGTTCTCAAATTTTCAAAGCACACCAGAATTTAGGGAGAATGTTAAGACACCAGTTGCTTGGTTGTACCCTGAGTTTCTGATTTTGAAGGTCCAAAGAATCCAAAGAATTTGCATTTTGTTCATGTTCCCACAAGATGCTCATGAGTGACCTAGGGACCACAGTAGGCGAACTACTCCTTTAGTCATGCTTTTACCCTGAAGTTCCTGAAGTTGCGCTGTTGTTTTCAATCACTGAACTTCCCTTATTCTTCAGATGCTAAATACTAAATGCTCGTGTTGTAGAGAATACAAAAGGTAAACCAAGAAGGCACCCTGCAGGCAAATGTTCTAAATATGTGTAAGAGATGCTTGGCCTGTGGAGTGGGGACCATAAACTGAGGTCCTGGTCTATCATTTGGAGGGGCTGATTTATTATTTTTTTTTCTAGCTGAGAATGTCAGGCTTGAGCCTAGGTGTTTGAAAACTGGTGGAATCTGAGTAGACAGAGATGGAAGGTGGTCTTTTTGTCCTTTTGAAGCAAGAAAAACATGGAAGGCATAAAGAGAACAAGGATGCAAATTTTAAGTTAGTTTTGTTGGGCTAGGCTATTCTCAGTTTGCCTCAGCACTCTTTCGGGGAAATATTCTTTGATTAAGCCATATAGTATTAAATTGTTAATTCTGTCTGTAACTTGGTTCCAACATTGAGATCTAGGATGGAGAGCCAATGGCCCACAGTTCAGGAACCACAGGGAGAGGAGGAGAAAGTGTGGGCATTTCACTGAACTTCTAGAAGTAATCGAAAAATCAAATCAAGCTAGGCTAAAGAACATGGAACTCAGTGTTTACACAATTAGAAAAGTCCAGGAGTTTGATCAAAACCCCAGTTCAGTTTCTCTGCATCTCTGAAGGCTCAACTTCTCTTTGTTTTGGTTTCAACCTCAAGTCAGTATCTCAGAGTCTGAAGACCACTTTCTCCATCTCAAGAGAGCTACAAGACCCCCCCCCCCCCCCGTCCTCATTCTTTCTCTTTTCTGTTGAGGACAGACCAAAAGACCTAAAGTTTGCATGGGTTAGCTTTAACATTGGTTAATGAACCAATCAGTGAGCAGTGCCTGATCATTTTAAATCAATCAGAGCCCACAAACTAGGAAAGGTGAGGTCTGGCCAACTTAAGTCACGAGACAGCTGAGTAACAAGGAGATTCATGGAATAGTTAGAGCACATGAAATGGCCACCTTTGGAGTTTCAGGTATTTTAGAGAAAGGTCTCTAACATACCATCACTTCCCTTAGTCATCAGGTTAGCCATGGGCAGCATTCATGCTTTAAAATTTTAAGATAAGCCTGCCTAGGCAGAGGAGAAC